TCCAAGATATTTCAAATTGGACTATGTATTATTATAGAAAACTAAAGGTTTTGCAAAAGTATGTTTTCGCTGTAAATTTAAAATGTAATACCACGTATTTATTGCAAAAAGTACCATACCGTACCTTCTTTTTGAAATTATAATTGAAGCAATAATTTTATTCATGAATATTATTTATATGGCTTCCCCCATAAATTTTTTGCCACTTGAAATAATTTTCAATAATTTTGAATACATTGTACTTCGAAAATGAAGTTTGGATAAACCTTTAAGTTACATCCTTTATACAGGGTGTTTGTAAATAAGTGCGAAATATTTTAGGGGGTGGTTGTCGAAGTTATTTTGTGAAAAAAGTTCATATAAACGTAGGTAGAAATATGCTTCGTTTCCGAGATACACAGTGTTTAAATTTAATTTTTTTATTTATTTTTATTAATTATTTCAGTTTTAAAGATACTTACTCGAAATTTGATGAACGCTTTGGAGGGATATGTGTGCATTTTTTGGGGTGATCCGAATGTTTCTACTTGCACCAGTGGCATTCCTGCGAGAGTGCCACAACCTTTTTTAATAAAAAAAATGGTACGTCACTGACTTGGTTTTGTTATTTTTTTATATTTTGAATGAAATTGTAAATAAATTACAATCATCAAATTTCGAGTCTATATCTTTAAAAATCTTTGGAATAATTAATAAAAAATTAAAATTTAAACACTGTATCTCGGAAACGAAGTATATTTCGACCCATGTTTATATGAACTTTTTTCACAAAATAACTTCGCCAACCACCCCCTAAAATATTTCGCACTTATTTACAAACACCTTGTATACATCTCACACATATACAAAAATATAAGGTGATCCATATGGATCCAACATATGGAATCAGAAATGTAAATAATTTTTTTCTCTCTTTTTTTTTGAGATATTCTCAAATCCTCCGCCGAACTTATTCAACTATTATGCATAATTGAAAGGTAATCAAATATTTTTGAAAGAGCTTTATTACAATTCACCTGGATTAATAGCAACATTAAATTTTCCCAAAATAAATAGTTTTTGTAGGCACTAGAATGTTATTCTCCACTGACTTCTTTGTCTTTTTATATCGGTTATGAATTCAGGGGAAGTTAAACTGTCCTAAAATTAAGACTAGTGCAGATTTATATTCATAATAATAAGTGTAAACATGAATTATGAATTATGAATTATAAAGTTGCCATAGTAAATCGGATGTCCACAGGGATGTAAAGTTTATTAAGAGGTACAGTAAAATGTAACATAATCGAAACATTTTTGACAAAGGTTCAAATGTGAAATATTATAGAAATGCTTTTTATAAATCATTGTAAGTTTTGTTCGCCACATTTCTAAAAACACCTTGTTTAAAATTTAGTATCATCATATGACAGCTCTAGTTGATAGCTAGACCTTCTTGGTTAGTATTTATTTAATCTTAAAAATCAAAAAGTTAAGATGAAGTGACAGTTATAACAATATTAATGCCTTGTGAAGTATTGAATGAAAATTAATATTTCTCGGAGGTGACATATGAACGTGAAACTTTAACTTAAACAAGGGAACATTTTTTGCAGTAAATTATTATTTTCTAAATATGGTAATTTTTTGGCTTATAATTTATGTGACCAAGATCCCCTTTAATAAAATTTGTTTGCAATTGGATTTTCTAATTCAACTTATTCATCACGTAAAATTAGAAAATAATAATTGCTGATCAGATTTCCGAGATACAATTAAAACTGAGACTAAACTTTTATAACTTCGACACCCAATAGCTTGGAAACAAAGTCTGTAGAAATTTTTTTATTTTACTTTCATTTCACTTTCTTTATAATATGCGTATAAAGAAGTGAAAAGAAAGGAAATATTTGTATGAAAAAATATAAAGAACAAGACTTACGATGACCTAGTTGACAATCCAGGGTATGCAATGATTTATTTAGAAGTAATTTTTCAGAAAATCTGGGATATTTTTATAAAAAAATTTGCTACTGAGACATTATCAACATCACTAATATCTCAATTTTCGTCAATTTGTAGAATAACTTTTTTATACAACTTAGATCTATAAATAAAATTTAGGAGGCTCTGGAAATGGATGATGAAAGATTATCAAATTACTGACTTTGATGATAGTGATATAAATATGTGTTACGAGTATATAGTAATGTGAGTATGATTGGGTAGGACCTAATATTTTAATAATGTTAGAACTAATTTCGGATCCATCATCAGGAGAAAAAAAAACGATATTGAAAAGAAATATCTTCATATCTACTAATAAGTCGTCGTTTTGAAAAGGCCTAGTGTATATGAATTTTTTCCATCGGTGATGGAATAAAACTGAAACTAGTAGGAAAGAAATTAAATTACTGTACTGAATTTGAAATAGGAGTCTAATTCACCGCATTCAGTACTATAAAGGATTTTCATCAAGAAGTTAAAAAATATATATTATAATACTATAAATAATTATATATGTTTGTGTTATATTTATGATAATTTAATTTTGTTTGTTATGTGTAATGAATTTAAAAAAATTCAATTCTCGATCACCAAAGTAGCATTACGCGCAGTAGATACAAAAATAGCTATTCTTTGTTTTTGTAAAAAAAAATTAAATAGGAATGTTTAATTGAATTTGAACTTCGTGTATTATACCAACAGTTTATAAATTTATAAAAATCTAACCTGAGCTAACTGAATTCTAATTCCTTATTTTATACAATTTTTGTTTATGATTACCTATACTACACTTTGTTGTCTTTTTGTCTGTGTTTTCTTACTCGTGATTTCCTTCCTGTCTTCTCCTTCCTGTATCCTACTACTCCGTAGATTGCCACTGTCTGCGTCACCTCTCCTGGCCTTTACTTTTCTGTGTCTACGACAATGAAAAATAATGTTTTAATTACCTGATAGTATTATGATTCTCTTGATTTATCTGTCAGTTTAGATTTAAACCGACTTTCCTTTCTGCCAAATAAATTATTTCCTATTTCCTGACTCTTTCTGGTTGCTTCTTTCTTATTTGGTTTTAACTGTCCCACAATGCCTCTGTGCTTGATGCTGTGCTGTGCTTTTCTCTACCACTCTTCTTCTCTTCAATACTTGTTCTTTTCTTGGTATTTTATAAGATTATCTTTTAATCTTCTGTATTTTATTACAATTCTTCTGATTTTAAACTTATTTTAATGGCTACAATTTGAATATCTTCTAATTTGACTTTTTATTTCTTGATTTTCTTCTCACTATTTATTATTCTGTCTCCCTTGGTCACCACTTTTTTTTATCTATTTTTCACCGCACTCATATATATAATTACAATGTTTTTGGATATATCGTAATCAATCTCAACCAATCAAATACCTTTATAATTTATACATTTTTACTTTACCAAATTTTATACCCTTTTATTATTTTTTTTTACTACATTACCTTCTTTTATAGACACTTTTGCTTCCTTTATACAGAGATTTCATTCTACTTTTACTATTATATTATACTGTCAAAATTTCATCCCGCTGTCAACCAAATCATCTTTACTATCTTGTCACCATATATCTAATATGTCATTATTTATTGTATTTCAACTTAATTTCTATTAGATTTTATATTTCAAACTCTTACTTCAATTTCTACTTGTTACAATATATTCCGCATTACAAATAATGAAATTTGAGACAATGTGGTTTTAAGTGACGCTCATGAAGAATACTTAGTCACACATTTAATAAAAATTCCTTAAAGTTATTTTTCTACATTTACTTACTACTTACTAAAAAAATCGCAGTAAGGCAAGCCATGGGCTACTACCAAATATACCATCGTAATGAATGAAACAAGTTGATCTAGAATGCCATTACATATAAAAAAAAATCGTAGAAATGTATATTCCAAAAAAACTGTATGAGTATATAAGTTTCTAATGCGGTGTGAAGACGATTATATAATACGATTAACAATTTATTTATTTTGTTTCAGATCAAATCACATCACATAGGTATATGTAAAAGAGAAGTAGTCCAATATAAAATTATAAAAATACTTGTTGATACATACAACCTGCTGCATCTGAAAAGTAACAAAATCGACCCCTTAGTAAGAAACTTTCGATAGACTTCCCAACAGAAAATAAAGGAAAACTGTCGCACATCATGGCCACTTAAAAAGCGAGAGAAAACGCCCAATTAAAAACAGCTCACTCTAACGAGCGAGCGAGAGCCGAACACATAATTAGAAAAACAAGTTAGTGAAAGAAAGCACGGGATAGAAAATATCCCGCGCAGTTCTGCGGGATGCCACTGGCCGTGTGATTTTTCATCATATTTTGCACCGAACGCGCGCATTCGACTTGTAAAAACCGAGAGCAACGCTTTTTTACACTCTCGCATATCAATTTGTCAAAACGCGTCGCTGGCAACTTCAAAAGGACGCACGCATCGTTGGAACAGAGTTCTTTATCTTGTAAGTGCGCGACATGATCTTGAATTATGACTCGGAAAGACTAAATCTAGTGGCGAGTGAAAAACTAGTTGAAAAAAACAAGGGAAAGCACCGATATTATAAAAACATTTGAAGGCTTAGAAGATATATATCAAGTCTGCTCCGAAGAAAGAAAATAATCAAGAATAAACGGAAGAAAAGTAACAAACAGGTCAGTGCTGTTGAAAAATAATTAGCTGCAAACGTTTACTTAAAATAAACAACATACTTCTCATGTAGAATCTTACAAAAACTAGTAAAAGACGCAAATGAAACACCATTTCCGTTGAAATGTGAAGTGGTCACTGGATGCATAATTTATTATTAGATTAAATCACAGACTATCACATTTACTTTCAAAAAATGTAAAGTTGTATTTATCGTCAAATTGACAAAATCTGTTATGATGGTGGGAAGATGAACGCAAGGAAAGTGGAATGACAAGCATCTACAAACCGTACAAACATTTTTGACTAAACCTAGTGTGTACGAAGAAAATGCACTTGGCCAGCGAGGTGTCGTCAACGACGGGTCACTACGACCGCACTTACGGCAACTTGACGGCGGAGATGCTGGCGGAAAGGACTATAGATGGGCTCCTTGCGGAACACCCTGGCGAGCTGGTAAGGACCGGGTCCCCGCACGTTGTTTGTACTGTTTTGCCGCCCCACTGGAGATCGAATAAGACGCTGCCAGTGGCGTTCAAGGTTGTCGCCCTTGGTGACGTGGGGGATGGCACCGTGGTGACGGTTAGGGCTGGGAATGACGAGAATTATTGCGCGGAACTGAGAAACTGCACGGCCGTTATGAAGAATCAGGTGGCGAAGTTTAATGATCTGAGATTTGTGGGAAGAAGCGGCAGAGGTGAGTCGTCATCGTACTTTCTTACATTGCCTGTTTCGATTTAAACAATGAAAAATTAATGTGATGACTGAGAGAAATGTGATTTTTATAAATATTTCTACTTTTAAGTTTCAGTTAGAGCAAACTGATTAAAAGCAAAACGAAAAAATGTAAAATAATTAGTTAAGGCATTTGGTAGATTTTTTTCACATATTTTGTAGTTTGATATACCGGGTGTCTCGGGAAATTTCGAAGCTGGAGATACTGGTGGCCAAAATAAATCAATTAAGCTAAATATGCCTTATGCAAATGTTGCTGGTTTCAAAGACACAAGGAGTTCAATGTTTGAATTTTATTTAGAAATTTTTCAATAATTTTGAAAATTGTCAAAGTATAAACAAAAAAATTGACAAATAAAAATTTGTAACTAATTTTGGCATTTTTTGTATACGGCGTCAGTTATTCCTTTGATAAATTGGGGATATATTTTTTATCTTTAGAATTACGGACATTATGTATTGAAAATATGAAATCATAAAAAAGTTACTCTTGTTTGTTTTCGACATCTTGTTTACGAGATTCAATGTATTTCATTTCAATATATTGAAATTTGTATACACAAATATCTCAATAACCAAGGGAAACATCGAAAACGAACAAGAGTAATTTTTTATGAAACGAAAGACGTTCTTTCATATTTTCAATACACAGTGTCCGTAATTCTAAAGATAAAAAAATATCCCCTATTTATCAAAGAGATAATTGACACCCTATTATACAAACAACGCCAAAATTAGTTAAACATTTTTATTTGTCATGTCAAAAAACTACTGACAATTTTTCTGTTCATACTCTTGACAGTTTTCAAAATTATTTCAAAATAAAATTTAAACATTGAACGCCTTGTATCTTTGAAACCAGCAACATTGTATAAGGTATATTTGGCTCAATTGATTTATTTTGGTCACCAGCATCTCCAGCTTTGAGATTTCCCAAGCTTTCGCGGACATCCTGTTTACATTATTATATATTATAATCATAAAATGATTATGCACATTCTATTTAATCGGAAGTGAGTTAAATTTTGCGATTTCACGTGAGATGCTGTACACAATACTATTTTTTTTAAAGACAAAAGCTTTCAAATATGTTTTCAATGTATAACGAAACGATGAAATATCAGAAGCGTTTATTTTATTATTTGTAAATATGTCTTGTCTCTGTTGTATTGTTGTTTTTTATTTTCTTTGTTGCAATGGTTGAGATTCATTAAGTAGCTTGGTGTGTTCACTATAATAAAACGCATGGTAAAATTCCTCGAACTTTTCATGGTACCATGTTGCCACGGACTCTTTAAGTAAAAATTCAGGTAACATTCATCTAATATTAAATAAAACCTGTAAAACATTGAACATTTCATGGCAATAGGTTACCATGGAAAGTTTTTATTATATTGTTTAGAAATTGCTGGAACTTCCTTGAAATCAAGCAAAAAATTATTTATTGATTTGACGTGATTTTTTTGCTGTTACCACTTGACTTCATGCCCTATTTGATTTGATTCAAATAAATTGAAAAATGCCAAAATACAATATTAATTGCATTCGGACATATTCGTTAAGGGCGAGTATGTAAAAACTTAAATCTAATATTTATGTTATTCACAACAGAGTATATTTTTTACTTTGATAGTATCTTTAGGTATATAATATTAATTCAGGATATAATTTCTATAAGTGTAATTCTCATGAAGTAATGTATTAATATTCTTTAAAATTGAAAAAGTCGAGCAGTTTTGAATAACTTAAATATTAAAGAAAACCCAAGCGAGAACTCACAGGTAAATTAATTCATAAAGACACAAATACACATAGGTAACACACAAAAAAAGAGTCACACACATACAATTTGTATGAACGGAATTAACAATTCTTTTAAAAGACATTTCTCTTCGATAAAATCAATTTATTTTTTACACCTTAATTAAAAATTTCTATGTAGTTTGTACATACATTTGGGGAACAAGACTATTTAAATTTAGAGTTACACTTAGTAATTAAATAACTAATTACTACTGCAGACAATAGCTAAATGTGAAATAGAAAATAATGTTATTAAAATTAGTAATAATAAGTTAAATTACAAGAACTGCTCGAAGTGACCACCTTGCATTTCGATGCATAATTTAGCTCGACGCTTCAATGATTTGCGAACTCTTTGGAAAATTCTAGGTGTTTGCCTTATTTCCATGCACGCGGTTTCAATTTCCTCCCGTAGTTGCTGAATGGTCTCAATTGGAATTTTATAAACCTTTGCCTTAAGTTGACCCCACAAAAAATAGTCCAGGGGGTTAAGGTCAGGGGAACGTGGAGGCCAGGGAACAGGACCTCCTCGGCCTATCCATTTTTCTCCATACAACTCATTTAAGTGTTGTCTTACATTATGTAGGTAATGAGGTGGCGCCCCGTCCTGCATAAACCATATGCTTTGGCGTTCAATTAAAGGGACATCTTCCAAAAGTCCTGGCAAGTCGTTAACTAAAAAATTGTAATAATCCTCACCATTCAATCGATTAGGCAACACAAACGGTCCGATTAGCCGATCGCCTAAAATGCCTGCCCAAACGTTGACGGAAAACCGAATCTGATGTCTGGACTGAAATATGCTGTGTGGGTTTTCATCAGCCCATTCATGAGCGTTATGAAAATTGACATAACCATCTTTACTGAAGCTTGCCTCATCCGTAAACAAAATAAGAGATGCAAAATTCGGAATCCGCCTCGATTTTCTCAAAAACCATTGGCAGAACTGCCGACGTGGTTCGTAGTCATTCGGATTTAAAGCTTGAATACGCTGGATATGAAAAGGATGAAGTAGTTGTTCGCAAAGAATTCGCCAAACTACGGAAAAACTTATGTTATGCATACGTGCGACACTTCTTACACTAACCCTTGGATTGTCCTGCATAGCTCTCAATACATTTTCTTCCATCACCGGTGTTCTTACAAATCTGTCTCGTCACGATCATTTACTCTTGGTTGGAACGAACCATTTTCTCTTAAACGTTCATGGATCCTCTGAAATACCTGTCGAGAAGGTCCTATTCGGGTATGCTGCCGCATACAGACGCCTCGCTTCTGATGCATTTCCAGCCGCACGGCTGTACATAAAGTGCATATCTGCCATTTCCGTGTTTGAATATGACTCCATTTTATGAGTTGCAATAATGTTGTATACTTAAATTTTCCACTCACCACTTTTACTAATTAAACACTGCAAAGCTCAATTGACAGTTTATCAATAACTTAAATTGTTAAGCGTTGTGGCAACGTCAGTCTTTTATTTGCCATGGTAAACAGATTTTTGTCATTTTTGGCCTAATAACTTAAAGAGCAGAGTAATTTTCATACTCAATTTACTCGAAAACCATTGGAAATATCGGTTTGGACAAAGATAATATTTTTTACGTAAAATTGTTAAGATCTTATAAATCTGTAGAGAAAATTGTAAAAAATTGAAATAAAAAAAATTACGGGCCGAAAACCCCCTTCACCAACCTAAATGGGACGCATATGATTTGCATGTCGAAAAACGGAGTAGCCATGTTATTTAACGTAAAAAGTTATGTAAGACCCATACATTTTTTTCTATTTATTTGCGACCGTTTTGTCAATAACAGAAAAAAAACAGTTTTGTTTCAGCCCTTTTAAGGGCATATAACTTCCTAAGGGTGCGTTTTAGGGCACATGTTAATAGGAACTTTTTGGCTTATTTTAATGAGTTATAAACGCAGCAGAAGTTTGGAACCCTATTTTAGAAACACCCTGTATATTTTGCGGATTAAGCAAATAGATTCTTTTATTATTATAAGTAACCTAAAGTTTTTTGTAAAATATTTATTTATATAGTCTCTTTTTATGTTCATGTATCTGAGGTGAACTGAAAAGGAATCCCCAAAACATGAAAAATTTATGCAAGTAAAAATTGTTAACAATTATTGTTTGTAAGAAGTACTTTCGTATGATTCCACAAAAAATGCATAATTTTCTAGTAGAAAATTGTATGTATGTATGTTGTGAAAATATTTATAAAAATATGTTTCATGACATATTTATGTTTTTATCTAACTTTTTATGGACATTTTTCAAAAAGTATTGGCATAAACCTTAAACACGCTGTAGAAGCGTTTGTTACACTTGAGGCTTTCAAGTATTTGTTATATTAATTTTGCCACATAAGACATGTTAAGTATCGTGCGTGATTGTGAATAATCTTGTGCAAAACAAATTATAATAATTGGATTTACTTACTTGAAAAAATTGGATCATATAATTTTTTATTTGTTACCACATTTTAGCTGTTATTAATAGCTACAGCCAGTAGAGGCTGTGGATGCCAATACTGCAGCCTATATGATTATTGTGTTGCTGCTTCTATACTCTAAAGGAGAAGAAGGTTATATCTTCAATGCGTTAGTGCTTTAAATTGTAGATTATTTGGGATGCTGTTTCATCTTCCTCATTGCATGATCTACTTATGTGTTCACCATTGTATAAGTCCATTATCTGCAGATGTTTTCTCAGATTACAGCGACTAGTTAGTAATCCCGTAACAGTTTATTTGACTTTGTCTTTCATCCGTAAGTTTTTTCGATGTTTTTTTAACTATCGATTTTCTATATCTAGGATGTTTTTGATATTTCAATGGCAGGATTTGTTAAAGTTCCTGCAAATTCATGCCCTGAAACTCATTTGAACGTTACCTGAGAGTACCAAAGTAAGAAGGACTTGGAAGCAGTTCCTGATCGGTTTTTAAGTAATCTTGTGTCTCGCCAATCTTTATAGTTGCTTGACTATCAGGGCAGTAGAAAAAAATTTTTTGCCTTTATAGGAAATTTGTTTTTTCCCGCAGACAAAGCTCAGAGCATATACTTTATTTTGGAATATAATGGACACAAATATTTTGGGGATATACATTAAATATTCCTGCTCTGGTCCAATTGTCAGTTTCGGATTCAGCAG